CAACTAATGAAAGAATGTATTTGTGAATAACTATTGGATGGGGAAACTGCCCAAATTCACAATGAATATTATATGACCAGCTCATAATTCCATAGCATATGGAGTACAAAACCCGAAAGGTGCACAGATGGCACAGGGATGCACATGGCATAGGTAGAAAAGGCTGCAGTCATATGATGCTGGGTATAATCTGTTATTTCTCTAGACATGTTGTTTCTTCACATTATTTGGAAACTCCTTCCACAGTTTTTTCAAAAATGAAAGGGAAACAATTACAGTTATCTTTTGGGGGACAGGTGAACCTTGTACTCCCTCTGCCTCCGCCTGTCCTCTCTTGTTTGATATTTAGACTGTCAATGTTTATTCTGCGTTTGTTGTGCGTCTAGTACAATGGGATCCATGACAAGGGGTCTTAGGTACTAGCATTGTACCAATAATGAATAAGGATAATAAAAACCCACGGTGAAAGTTAAATGTCACCAGTCTATGACTGAAACAGGCACATGTTACTTTAACCCACTCACAAGTATCTTAAGTTCCACATAACAATGGCAAGAGGAACAAAGAAATAAAGTGACAATATGACCTGGTTTTACCAAAACGGTCCTGGTTTACCATTGTTGTTTGCAGTGTTGTAGTTGTGTTGGTCCCAGGATATGAGAGAGACAAGGTTGTTGAGATAATATTTTATTTGGACCAACTTCTGTTGTTTCTTTCACCATTAGAAGTTGGTTCAATAGAAGATATTGACTTACCCCCCTTGTCTATTGGTTTCCCAAAATATCCTCATGCCCTAAAAACTTTGTTCTGGACCCCCTGTAAAATACCCATTTTGTTAATTTTATCTATCAAACCTTATTTAAAAAAACCTACAAAATGTTTGTTCAGGGCATATTATGTTAAGTAAAATTTGCATTGGGTTTACTGGGAACAAACAGTCCAGTGGAACAAGTGTTCAGTGTGATACACTGTGTTTGGCACAAAGAGAGAAGCCAAAGGAACAGAGCCACTCTCAAAGCTGTTTCTTAGCTTGACATTTAACAGCACTTGTTCCATTTTTCATGATAAGTTTACTGAGATACTGGAAAGAAAAAAAATCTTTTCACTCTGCCCACATAGCTGTTGATCCAGCAGCTGGCAGGATAACATCAGCACATTTTTTTTGAAAATGTACTTTTTCATGAGCATTTCACAAGCCTAAATGTTGCCACAAATAAGTCCAATTATTTGTATTTAGTATGTGTGGTCACATCATCTGTGAGTATCCTTTTATAGAACGTTAATTGTTTTTAATACTTATTTTTTCATTAGCATCTCTCTCATTTCCCCTTGATTTTTCAGTCTCTCCCAAAAGAGGTAGTAACATTTAAATTTGAATAAAACCCCCAGCGTTCCAGTGGGCTCAAAATTATGCAAAACCAGCTGGCTCTTCCCTAGAAAATGCAATGCTTTTTTTTTTTTTTTTTTTTACAAAACTTGTAATGTAGGTTCTTGAAATCCTTTTCCAGTTTCTGAAGTGAAATAATTTCTCAGTAATAAATGTTTTCAAGAGCTTGCAATTTGCCATTCATTTTTCAGAAGGTAAAGAAGGACATTAGGATGCATCTACCAACAAAAGCTTTTAATCTTTTAAAACCTGTTCTTTTCCCATTTGTTTAAAGAGAGAGAGAGCTTTAACATTCTCTGGGAATTGTGGATTACCATGAAGGAGCCATACTGCAGAGGCTGACTCTTGGCTATTTTTAGAGGACACACAGTTATGCCAGATCTCAGAATAAAAATAATTTAATTGGGGATTAACCCGTTGGGGGTTTTTTTTATCCAAAGCAATTATGCACGAAACTAGACATCAGTCTTGGATTTTTGAAAGCATGTAAGGAAGCTGGATGCCAGCCAGAAAGACTGTCTTCACTGCACAGTTCACCTGGGCTCTTACCCAGGTTTTGGCTAAACCACCCCTCCCATGCACACAGAAACATCTCTTGCTTTGAATTTGGGGGTGCATTAAGACTAGCTTCGCATACATAGCAGAGGTTATTATGGGTTAGAGCCCAAGTTCCACTTTAACTTGAACCCCCCACTTTACCTTGAAGATGCAGATAAAAAAATCATGGAAGTGCTTGATAGTCCCCCAATGTCCTTCCCACAATACCTCCTCCCCTGCAAAGGACAGGCAGCATCTCCTGCAGTTGACACAGTGGACTGGAAAAGAATCCTAGAGCATTTCAGAACAAAGAATGGTTGGGCATGCCTCCGGACACACACAGGTGTGTGCAGACCGTTGAGCACCCTGTAACATGGGTAGGGCTCTGCTGTTCAGACCCTCCCCTGAGCTGGGCTAGGTTCCCCTGGGTGCCGATCCCCTGGATTAACTATGCAGTGAAGACAGAATTTCAGTGGGAGCTGGGAGCTTCAATTCCCTGAGACCCTTTTGCAAATCCTACTTCCAGTGTCTCCTGAGCCATTCCAGAAAAGAGACAGAGATTCACACTGAGTCCAAGAAATAACCAGCCAGCAGGTTAGTGAACTGCTCTATAATAACAGTTACCAACCAAGAGATTTTTCCAGGTAAACCAGACAGCTCGCACCACTTTAGACTAATTGTAGCAGTCTAAGCCATGCTCTTCTGGATAGAGAAAAGCAGAGAACAGAAAATGAGCTGGGGGAAAGTCACACACTAAAGCAATCATGGTCAAAGTAGTGAAAAGACAATCCATTATGGACAAATATTATACATGTTTTTCAATTGGTACCTACATACCCTAGTGCCTCAGTACATCAGTGATGCCTAGTATAGAGGAGAATCCTAAGTCCCCTAGCAATGGAAGGAGCACTCATTGGTGCTAGGTTCAGTTTTGTGCTGTCTTGGCCATTAATTGTGACGTAAATGGTCCTAACACAGCATGAAAACACCCTTCCCTGCAGGACTATGGAGCTTTCCGGATTTGTTCCAAAGCCCATTGGAGTCAGTGGAAATTCTCCCGTCCACATCAATATCCTAATTAAAATAAAAGATTCAGCCTTAATTATTACTGTGCCAGAAATATGAAGTGAAAATAAATAATAAAATCTAAGCTATTGCGCAAACTTTCTTGAGCCTGATCGCTGGGTCTGGCCAAGCTCAGTGTGTGACATAAATAAGTCATTTAATCTCATAGTCATAAAGTTTCATGCCAAAAGGGACACATTACAGGATCAGCTCATCTCTCTGTGTCTTGTTTTCCCATCAGTAAAATGGAATAACATCCCCTTCCTTGCTTCCTTTGTCTGCTTTGTCTATTAAGGATGAAAGCTCTGCAGGTAAGGGGCTGTGAAGAAATGTATTCCAGAAACCATTTGCAGTGTGTCCCATCTTTTATTTGCCCAGGAAAAATATATAAATAACACTGCATGTGTTTGAGTCTACTAGCACTGTCTCTATTAACTGCATAAGTGAGTTGGCTGGAAATGTGTGTTTCCATGTAGTGGGCAATTTCTGAAAAAAAAATCATTCTGAATTGGAACAAAAAGTAAAAAAAGTTCCTCATGAAACAGAAATTTTCACACAGTTCTAGGGAGCCCAAGCAGTCTGGGGAACCGACCAGCCCAACCACTCATCAGGTAGGAGCACTAGACCTTGGAGAGCCTGGCAGCCCACCTCCACAACATGCAGACACCTCGCAGAGCTAGCAATTCTGGGATCCCAGGGAGCCTGAAATCTTCTCCCACCATGGGGCTGGCAGAAAACCAAGCAGGCTGGCTGGTTCCTGTCAAAAATTCAGACAGAGCTGACACCTTCCTGCAGAACATTTGGACTCTGTCAAATCAGCATTTTCCAGGAGAAAACTTCCACTGGAAAATTTTCCATCAGTTCTGTTATCTACATGCCTACAGACATCTCTGTTGTACTGCACCCGTAACAGACGATCGCTTGACACACTGGAGTGACTGTAGGGTGGGGCCTCGAGGTGAGACAGTGAGGTTATGTCTACACTGCATACCAGTAGCAAGGGTGCATGCCAGGGGTGAGGAACCTTTTTTGGGGTGAGGGGCCACTGATCCACAGAAAAATCACGTTGACTTTTCGGTCGGGGGGTTGCACACCAGTGAGAAGCAGGGGAAAAAAATCCCTCACTGTGGCCCCGACTGAGCCAGACAAAGACACTCCCCACATTTCTCTTGCACACCAGAGCCTAGCAGGGCCCAGCCTAATAGATTTTTGTGTGCTCCAACCCCCAGGGGTGCAGCAGGGGCGTTGGAACACCAGCACAGGACCCCTGGAGCTGCGGAGGGGTTCTGAGCCTCAGGAGCTGGATCCAGGCAAATCAAGGGTCACAACCAGCCTCCGGGCCTGCGGTTCCCCACTCCTGGTGTATAGAATAAGTACAGTATAACAATGTGCATCAGTGAAAATCAGGCTGCATCCATACTGTGTGGCTGGGAAAGGCTGTGGTAGAGGGGAGGTTGCAGGAAATGACAGTGTTAAAAATACCACTGTAGACAAGGGAGGCATGCTTGGATGTGGGGTATGTACTCTAAGGTTCTGGCTTGCCTTTATTCACCTAACCAGTGCTTCACTGTCTCCACAGCTATTTACTGTACCTGGGCTAAGGGTATGTGCAGTGTATGAAAGCTACATGCTGCCATCTGGAGAATGAACAAAGACATACCCTAATAAATAACAATAATTCAATGTAAAGGATTGCCACTGTGTAATCTGGTTTTAGTCCTATTCTTCGTGGTCTAATCTGAAAGTATCTTCTCAGTGGGTCTGCTTCTGCTAAAGAGGTGGACATAGTGCTAATCAATCTCTTGCTCCACCTGATCCGCATGAGAAATGTCTGCAGGCCAAATTTTGACCTTGTGATATTTGGTGCAACTCATTCAGAATGTCTGCAAGACTGTACAGATTTCCCATTCAGTTGCACTTGTCAGAATCGGGCCCCCAATTTGCCTAGATTTGCTGCTGTTAGTTCTACATAGCCCTACTGAATGCTGCATTGCCTTTTTTTTTAATGCAGGTACTGATTGCCCCAATAACAGAACCAGGGTGCGTTCAGAGAGACATCTACCTGCCTGGGGAAGGCCACACGTGGATGGACACCAACACCGCCCAGGTGTTCGATGGAGGAACTTTCATCAGGAACTACTCAGTCAGTCTTACGGAGGTGCCGGTTTTTGTAAAAGCCTCCTAGATTCAGTCTGTCCCAGCTCTTAAGAGTCACCTACTTCCCAGATGAGTGATGCTGACAAGACAAACTCCCTTCCATTTCAGACATTTGCACTTTTCCAGGAACTCTTTTTTCCCCCCCATACAAGTGTTTCAGTCTTTTACTGTGATTTGTTACCATTCTGAAATAGTGAATTACTGCAGGAGCTTGGGTACAAGAAGTACACCCATGTGCCCAGGAGAACATCTACTGAGGTCTGTCAGGTTCATCTGGCCCAATCCTGGTTATCTACCAGGAAAGTCTCAGATAAACTTTTTGCCCCTTCTTTTTCCTTCTCTCCCGCTGCCCATGCCCTCTCTGTACTATTTATTTGAAAACTGGATCCCTTAAACTCCATTCATCTGAAGAAGTGGGTTGTGCCCACGAAAGCTCATGATACCATCTACGTTTTTTTAGTCTCTAAGGTTCTGCAAGACTATTAGATGTTTTTTAAGTTTTTCTGATAAACTAGTAGTGAAAGAGAGACTCCCTCAAAGTCACAGACTAATGAGAAAAACAGATGGATTCAATGTCTGCTAAAAATATTCCTCTCTTTGGGGGGAAATATCATTAAAGCAAAGAGGAAGCCCTAACAGAGCCAGGTCTGGACAGACAGCAGGACTAGCTGCCTTGAAAAGAAACAGTCTTGGCTGACCAGATCTAGCTGTCTGCAGGAGCCAGTGAAACACAATTGCATCATTACCTGCCTCTACAGACCGCAACTTATAGTCTGGGAAAATTGCAACATCCAGGGCTGGATTTGGTGTCAATGTTTTTGTCTAGGAAAAAGTCAGTTCTCATTAGACAAAACTTGCAGAAAGAAGAGGGCAAGGAAAGCTGTTCTGTGATGGGGCTGTAGGTCACATATGTCAGACGTCTTCTCCATTCCTGATGGATGATTATTTGGATTATTTGCATTGTGTGGTTTTAGAGACTATCCTGTCTGCTGCTTTTTGCCCTGGCTTTCTCATCTCAGAGTGCCTCCTCCCATGGATTGGGCACATCCTCAAACTGACATCAGCTTTTGTTTATTTTTGGAAATAAGCAGCCTCTTTGAAACCTGTGGATCTGAGTATTATAAAGCAGCTGAGACTCACTATGTGGAGGGCGTTTTTAGGATGACAGCACTTATGACATTCAAAAGGTTCTAGGAGGCTACAAAGACAAGATTATGTTCTGTGCCTTAAGGTGCACATCAGTTCTTAGCAGCTGCAGAGACTGGACGTACATGGTGTTAGCCTAGCTGGAGGGAAGGATCAGCTTCCAAATGAATTCAAATGACCTTATCAAGGGGAGCATATGTATCGAGGGGGGGGAGAGGGAGAAGACCTTATCAAGGGGAGCATATGTATCGGGGGGAGGGGGAGAGGGGATCTGAGCTTTTCAGTGCTAATCTTAATGTAAATGGGACCATTTCTTTGTGTTTCATGTATCTCACAAGTACCCAACTTCATTGCTGATACCCCATGGGATAAAGGGGCCGGATGCTCAGCTGCTCTCGGCCAGCACTGTTCTACTGACATCAGCAGCACTCGGCTCATTTACACCGGCTGATGGTCTCTCTCATTTTCCTTCTAGGTCAGAACCGCCCCCTCCCCTCCCGGATTTTCCTAATTTCATCAAAAGTGTCAAGGACCTGTGAGGAGGCCCCAAGGGCAGTGTCAAATACAGGCTGTTGCACAGGGCTAAGGG